TTTCACCAGGGAAACATTAGAGTGGTTATGAAGAGACAGTGTACCTCTACCGCAGTGTTAAGTTACTTGTCATTCGTATCATATGAAAAACGCCTAATTCCTACTGTGCCGTGTGCTACTGATAAGTCTTATCAGTAGTATATAAAGAGACGTTCACCGAGGGATAAACATCAAATAGCAGAGAGATACATTTGAAGTCAAAGATAGCAAATGATACAGCGTTGCAGAGATACATGGGAGACGTAAAGGAAGACAAAGAAACACAATATGAAGGAAGGCCAGAAGTAGCACAACACGGAAGATCTGTGCAAACGGTGATTTGAAGATAAGGTGTACACAGTTTCTCTACATAGAGATACCGAATTGCAAATAAACATTCCTTTCGTCTCCTACCGTTATAATACGACTCTTTTTTTTAAATATTAGAAACAATGAGAAATATGCTTTCTTTTCTTCTCCATAAAATGAAAACATTTCTTATAGACTGATGTTAAACCACCAACCACATGCAATTCCATGCAACTGACAATAAGCTACAGATTATTGTGTGAGGGCTAATGATGACTATTACTTGGCCGCCTATATTCTCAGTAGGTGGAGCGGGTTTCGAATCCTCAACCCTCTGGTTGGAAGTCGATTGATTAGAACCGGTGAACCACAGCTTCTCCTCTTAGACTGCAGATGATGTGTTCGTGTATGTATATGGATGTAGTAAATTAAATATGTTTGGATCTTATGCGAACAGAGAAGTTCAACTTGATATCGCCTTGTATATGCAGCTGTTCATTGATGTATAGTTAACGCTAACGCATAATGACTCGCATGAAACGATTCTTAATACACAAGTATATAAGTCTGTTGTTTGTTTGTTTATTTGATCGTTATACAACAACCAAACATGATCTTCGTTCATTTTTAACAAAATTATCATACAACTCCTACCTAAAGTTTTATGCTTAACACACAGTCATCTCGCATATAAAGGCATACAGATAAAATTATATTATTATTTTTTTCTCTTAAGAGATGTGAACACCATTTTGGTAGAGAGAGAGTAGTTAATGCATTAAATATTTTGGCAGTCTAAAGTTCTATACAAATCTCTATATCTTAACATCATTTGTATACACTTTTTTTCTCTCTCTATAGTTGTGTGTTGTATTATAAGTGATTGTCTGTTCATGTGAACTTGGTGTATTATCATTACTACTACTACTACTACTGTTACTTGTTATTATTACTGTTACTATTATTATTATTATTACAGGTTAAAAATTGTGTGTTTTTTTCAGAAAATTTCAATGACTTTTTGTTCATCATCCACAAATATTTGACAAGTGATAATGTGATTGTCTAATATACATATATATATATTCTTTAGTGAGCAGTATTATCCTGTATATTTCTATGCACACATTCAATCGTTTATGCATAAGTTAACGTGTGTCTGGTATGTATCACCTTACGATCAGGTTATTCCAATCGATAAGTTGCTCTGAGGTATTGTGGATTCACTGTGTGCCATGTAATGTTATCTAACTCTCATGATATGATGATTGTGTCATAAATTTGAGATTGAGTTTGTTGACGATAGAAATACCCTGTATCCAAGGTGTCTATTAGCCTTGATGTAATCAGTCCTTACTATTGCATAGTCTTGTGGTGGAACAAATTTGTATTTGTCTCTGTTGACGTATTGGTTTCTTGAGCTATAAGACTAAAATACATTAGGGGGGCTAGGGTTGAATGTCAATGGGAGCACTTTCACTCACTGTGGGAATCCAAATGCATCCAGATGACGAGTCCCAAATAGGACGAAAAGTTCAATCAAATAAAATCTTGTTGGTAATCATTCACTACAATCTTTTTGTGATAGTTGGATTATGAATTTCTGTAGAGATTTGGATTAATTTCAATGTTGGTTTCGTTAAGAACCAATATTGGTTAGAGATCATTGGAAACCAGGGATTAGTGGACAGTATCTTTCTAGTTTGGGACGGTTCACCCACGGCTCACCCACTGTCTTACCATATATCGAACCTGGAACCTTCATGTTACGAGACTAAGCTGATTGGCCATTCAACCATTCAACCAGGAATTTAGTATCCTGTGGATTCTAACTTACTTTATACATTTATTCCCCTTTATGAATTTGAATAAAGCAAGAACAAAGCAAGTTTTTGCAGAATAATATGGTACCACCATTTATTTCGTTGGCTCCTCATCAGCTGCTTACAGCCTAAAGAAATTATTAAGTTTATATACAGAAAAGTTTTAACATTACTTGCAAATTTTACATGATGTCAGTTGACAGGAGGTTCTAGACTTAGTGAACAGTGCTCATAAAATTACACTTATATAGTTTTTGCACAAGGAGTTCAAGTTTAAACAAAGTAAATGTACGCATAGAATGGCAAAGGAGTTACGTAATGAAAACAAGAGGTGCGTAAGATGATGAGTAACTGATAAACTGGGTAAGAATGTACTGAGTTCAACTCAAATCATAGAAACAAGGGACAAGCAAAATAACTCTATCAAAGGTGGGGGGGTTGAGGTTAAAACCAAAGATTACGTAATCAATCAACTAAATAACTTTTTATTGTCGATATGTTGATGATACATTTGTAGTGTGCAACAATGAAAATCAGATTATTCAACGACGCACATGCAAATATTAAATTTACTATGGAACACGAAAATAATGGGAAGTTCCATGTCCTCGACTTTGTCATGCAACGCCTAGAAGATCGTAGCCTTCAGATGTCAATTTACCGAAAGCCTAGATAGAACAGACAATACCTACATATTAATAGTTTCCTTCCAAATAGCTTTAAACGAGCACTACTCATGACTCTGTACTATAGTGCTAAGAAAATATGCTCTGCAGGGAAATTAGAGGAAGAGTTCATGATTCCCGAAAAGATGTTGAAAAACAACGGTTACCCTCAGAGTGTCATTAACAAATACGGGAGATGTAAAGGCTCAAACAGATCACAGTAGGAAAATGCCAGTCTTCATTCAACTCGATTATAAAGATAAAAATATTACATCAATTGTCAACAGAAGATTGAGGACGTCACTAGCCACAGCCTATTCTGCAGCTGAGTTGGTTCCCATCTACCGGACAACGTGCGGCAGTCAAAAGTCGACCGATACTCTTCTCATGTTAACTCCAACTGTGTATACAAATTTACGTGTATCTGCGGGAGCAGTTACATTGGGAGGATAGGAAGAAGGGCACACCTCCGGTTTTCTGAACATGTGCGGAAAAGCTTACATCTTAAGGGGACAAACTCTTATAATAGTGCTATTACCGGACATCTCCTTAATACGGGTCATGAGGTGGAAATCGCAAAATCCTTTAAAATTATCAACAGACCAAGGAGCGCGATTCTCCTCAAGTTTGCCGAAGCAATCTCTATCAAACACATGAAACCCTATTTATGTGTTCAGAAAGAGGCAGTTATCAGTCTTTCCTTTCCCTGGTAATTGGATGTCTTTATTCCCTCTTTCATTTGATTACGTAATCTTTGGTTTTAACCACACCTTCCCCTTTGATATAGTGTAATTTTGCTTGTCTCTTGTTTCTATGATTTGAGTTGAACTCAGTACATTGTTAAGGATCTGGTTTAATTCCAATGCAGATTGTTATGATAGTTTAAGTTTTTCTTGAAATATCAAAATACTTCAGTTTTTACTCAACTTTCCTTTATAGTTCTCTGTCATTGTAGTATGGTATAAGTGACAGTAATGTACAGGAACAGCGTGTCAGATTAAAGTTTAAATCTGGTTAGTTAAGAAGGTTTATTTCTTCTTCTTCTGTTATATTCTCTCTGTCTGACCATAAAGCAAGTTTGATTTCTTTTTGACAGGTGATTGTCAATTGTGACTGTTTGAACATTTGAATAAAAAAGCGACCTTAGGATTATAAGGAATAATAATTTGTAATCTTTCCAATTCATTTCCTGTCTTATTACTTTGTTTTGAACATGGTGAATCATCTATGTCTTTTACTCTCTGTCTTATGTATGATTGTATTTATCCTAAAACTTGAGAAAGTGTTGGGTTACTAGTCCTACAACTTTGTATTTGCCTTTACACTTTTGTAAAACAACCTTCTACTCTTTGGAGGCAATAAATATATTCAAGTATTGGTTTTGTAGGGATTTTGTTTGAATGGATGGAGGATTTCATCATGAGCTGACATCAGTTAGAGAACCACTGGAAAACCTGGATTACTGGAAAGCTGTTTCGTCAGCCTATTTTGGGACTCTTCAGTAGTACGCACCACCGGGGTTCGAACCGAGGACCTTCTGGTTACAAGGCGAGCTCGTAGACCATTAAGCCACTGGGACCCGATTCAATGGGCCATGAATTCTTACTTCTGCCAATTCACGACATAGCGCGACCATTTCGCAATGTCTTCTTATAAATATATAACTTACCTTACTGAGGCTGTGAACACGTGGTCATTTTGAGAAGAACAACTCAGCCTACTCATTCTGTATTATATGATATAATTTATGTGAGTAGACTGTATATGGCTAATTACATCACTAATCTATTGGTTTGGAATACTGATTCCGTATGTACTCATTGGTGCGTGGGTGGTACAAGAGTAGAATACTCACCAACCACACATGTGATCCGGGGTTCGACCTCCGGCCGACACACTCCTTTACCTCGTTAAGCCGGTGGTAAGATCGGTAAAGAAGGAAGGTTGGGCATGAGGCTAGCAACCTCACCCTGTAAAAATAAAACACCACTGCTACCGAAACTTCAAAGCTCTGACTTGAAGCCTTATGTTCCACTAGGAACTTAAAGGAATGAAAAAAATGTACTCATTGACTCAAACTGATAAGGATCCACGATCTAGAGATAGCAAGTTTTCACATGGTTTTCTGCCTAGTATCATTTCATGACGAATTATACCGTTTAACAGGAAAACCCTGCTAAAGTGGATTTTTCTCTCTCTCCTCTCTCTCTTGTTTCTTGACTAGGATTTTGGTCAGTATAGTCCAAATGGAAATTATATAATGCAAACAACTGAAGGTGAACAAATCGCTCAACTTATATCTGGTTATGTGGATATCATTTTACGTAGACAACGTAGTCGTGATAATGGTCAAACAGAAGGTGATGAAGAAAATACAATTATTGAAGAGAATATTGCACCATCAAAGTAGGTTGTTTCCCCCCCCCCACCCCCTGATATTTTGTTTATCTGTCAGCATACTCTTATTGCATAACTGTACAATAGAATAACATGACATACCTTGTACAGAACTGTATCAGTTCACGTTATCACGTTGTGTAGGGGTACGAAGGAAAAGAGGAGGATACTACAGTAGAGACGAACATTTTAGATAGGAAGAAGAGTGACAGAGAAGAGTAGTGAAAATATCGTCAGTATGATTTTCTCAATACCTGTTAACTGTTGAATTGAATTAGTTGTGTTCTCTGAGCTGGTTAATTTAATTACGAAGCTTTCGTCGTCCTTCTGGACAATATCTTCAGCGTAAGTTTTAGTGTTTCGATTGACTTGCGTGGGTTTGTCTATAGGTTCAAAAGGTTTATTTGGTAAGGACTTGTAGCACTGGGCTCTTAAGGTAAAGAATATTGTTCTTGAAGTGGAATAATTAGGTTTGCAGGCAGATGTGAGATCATCTTGATCTATCTATGGTTTTGTGGATCAAATAGATGTGATTCGATGTCAACTTTTGTTCAGTCGAAATCATCACGCACTTAACAGCACAAACAAAGAAGGCAAGCTATAGGCATTAAAGGAACCTGACACGGTTAGTGGAAAAAATTAGAAGTAATACTCCTGAGTGTAAAGTAATTAATGTGAATGCATAGAATATTCCTTCGAGATGATATTCATCTGTCTCTAAAGATTGATTTCTGCAGTTGGTAACAACACGTCCACTTAACAGGAAGGTAAGTGCTGATCAGCCAACACAACTGAATCCTCGACTATTTGTTTCCTCAGGTTACTCAGTGTCAGTTAAACATCCTCTCAGGATGATATACATTGCAAAACTAAATGATACAAAATGATTAAGCTTAAATTTCTGATGTACTTTTGACGGCTTACCATTCATAAAAGGCTGTCGAAGTTTTCTTTCGCCGATTCTGTTGACCTGACGTTAATTTCATAACTTTCAACTTTTATCTGTCGTATCTTCATGTATTTTTAGTATATACCTGTTGTTTTTCTAAAATTCAAATCTTTGTGAATTTTATTTTCAAACATTTAACGTTTCGCCTAACTTCTAGACGACATGACATCGTTTTTTCTGATTTCTTTGAACTGCGCAGCAGTTGACTATTTCCTTCTTCATGTCTGTGAGACGTGGCCATTGAAAGTGTAAGATATGGAAAGGCTAGCTGTCTTTGATCACAGGTGTCTGTGTTTTATCTTCTGTGTTGAGTGGTATAATACGGTAAATAACATTGAAGTTAGGCGTAGATGTTTAGGTAAGAAGGGTAAGGAAATCGTATCGATTGAGATGGTTAGGACACGTGTTACGCATCTAAGCCTTCGACTTCATTTTCGAGCGGCGTTAGCTGACATAGGATTGGGTTAGAAAAGAGTTGAGTAGAATGTGTGAACACTTGAACTGCTGCACTTCTGTTCAAAGTTCTATGTTGAAATTCAGTTGGTCAGTCAATCAGTTACTCGAAACGTTCACAAATAGAAAAGTGTGTGTTCCACCACATGACACTTTTAAAATGCGATAATGGTGATTATTTACGTACTACTACTAACTAATAAGTTTGGTATATTTAATCTGTCAACAGTCTCACAGCTCTATTAGTAGTGTACAGAGGCAAAGCAATCAACATTCAACCAAGCCTGTTCATTTCTCAGTTGGTGTAGTTAATATTCAATCTAACTACACGTAAAAACACACGAGATCTTGTCTGTCTATCAAAAGAGATAAGCTAATTTTTTTTCTAGACAAATATCTGTCCTCTAGTCTTGTACATTGTCTAAAGAATAACAGTCCTACCAACTACTGTGTGTTGTGTGTATCTCTGATATCTCAAAATAAACACAATTAAACTGAAAGTGTTTAATAAGCACAACTGAGTAGTAGTTAACAGTGAAATACTTGAATCAATGATCTACAGAGCTTTCAGTGTTATTCACCGTTCATTGGTGATTGTTATTATTATTACTAATATTTCTTTGTGCGGTCAGCAGCACTATTGTTAACGCCAGTATGTTGTATGAATCGTAGGTGAAAAGTCTTGTGTGTGTGTGTGAGTACTTTTTATCTGTTGATAAACTAAGATAAATATTGAAAACAATGCAGACAGGTGAAAAAACACAACAAACAAACAAACAAATGCCTTGCCTTATAGGTTTTAGCTGATATTGAAGTTTAAATTTCATTATACATGTTGAATACTTGTGTTCAGTTATTATTATTATTGTTATTATTATTCAGTCTTGGTAAATGTTTTGTTAAATCATATTTATTATAAATATGTCATATGAATTGTCGATTTCTAATTTAAACAAAACCAACTACACACACCTTAGAATTTGTCACTAATTCATGTGGTGTTTAAAATGAACATATTTATGTATATATAACACCATATACTACTGATTGGTCGATATGAGTAGTCGCGGTGTTGATGTGAATTAGCCACTAATGTTTATTATTCATCCAGATCGAAGTGATCTGAGCATCGGACGGTCGTTTCACCCGTTTGAGGTCGAGCTCACCAGTGATGTACCCGATATGACTCATCCCAGACGGCTGAATCAGTTCAAACTACCCGAGTCCTCGCTAGTTACTTTCATTTCTGCTTGCTTCCTAATTATCATTTGTAGTATCAAGGCGTTCAAAGCTCCTGATCTGAATAATTTTGGTTTACAAAGAAAACTGTAGTGAAATCTTACCTCGAACTGTGTGGATCGCGAATGTATATACAGTTTATCGGGGGATACTTGTCTTCACCTTACACTTTCATTAGCTTAAAAGTTGGTTATTGCTTTAATCATTTCGTAAGAAAGCAATCACACCTAAGGATTCTCATAAATGTCTATTTAAAAAAAACAGTAACAGTTTCGTATCTCTGAAGTAGGTTTCAGAAATATCTTGGTGTTGAAGGCTAAAAGTCTCGAAAGTAGATTCTCCTGCTAATTGACTTTTAAAACACGTTGTACGTCTTTGTACATTATTACCTAGAAGTAAATGGAGAGTCATTGTGTTATGAGTTAGCATTAAATGGCCATAGGTGAGTACACCGACTAGAATACAAGCTCAACTGTAGGATTTATGAGTTTGATAGTAAGTATTATTCACTGCTGAACCTACTATTCCGTGGTACCCGTTAGGTCATATTTTTTTAAATCCCGGTAACTTTTGTTATTACGCAGCTGTAATGCAATCTGCAGAAAGCCGTGGACCTAGGTTTCGTGCTCGTCAGGAAGGCGTATCTCTGCAGTCTTGACGGAACTCATGTCCCTTTTGATGTTCAAATCCGGATCACCCAGTCCTGCAGTCAGAGATGTTACCACTTAGCTATTCTTGCTGCCGACTGGTTTCCTGTGGGACTCTGATGGATACTTACTTCTACTAGACACTAGGTAGTAACTACTGTCATTAGTCTAGTCCTTCGTTTGGTGCAGAATGAATTGTATCTCTGGTTTAGTACCTCTGCTTGTTCCTGAACGGGTTCTCAATATTAGTCGTAACCTTGCAGTATGAATAGTTTGATTTTCTCAAGTTTTTTTGATTTTTGATTAGAGCTTGAAACCACACAGTATTTTGGTACAAGTATGGAATTTTCAGCATGTGATATCGGTAGCCCAATTTTGCAGGTAGACCATTGATATCGAGTGTGCATCGGCGGAGGATCGAACCCAGGACCATGTGCATGGTCGACGAGAGTTCTAACCACTGTGCTACCGACGCACTGATATATCATTAAATTTTCCATTCTTAAGGCTAGGGGAAGTAAAATTGTTTTGAAGTAGGTAAGATGATATTGCACGGTAATTATTAGTTTCCTGTTCACGCAAAACTGTTTTATGCATAGTAATTTAGCATCATTTGTCTTCGATATGTGGTTTACAGATCTTAAAACTTAGTAGTAGTAGCTCACAAAATTGACACATTTTTATAAGATATAGTGCCTATTTTCAATTAGTTTGCACTGTTATCAATCTGACTGTTACTTGAAGAAGCTAAACAACTCTATTCATTAGGCTATAGGTTAAAGTCATACACATCGTGGCTGAGACACTGAAGATTCAGTCACTGAGGCTAAAGGTGGGTGTAGGGAAACAGGGCCTTATAGTTACATTGAATATCATACAAATTTCATGTCTGTTTTAAACGATCTAAAGAATTATTGAAAAGCAGTCACTGCGGAATTCCTCTTTCATACTGGTATAGTGTTCTACAGTGTTGTGAAATTATCACATTTCTGATTAGAAGTCTAGGTAACCTATATACAACCTAATCGTTGAATATGTGTGCATTCATTTCTAGAAACCTTAATGTCCTGGGTTAAGTTCTGCATATATGATAGTTAGGGGTGGATTGGTGCAAATGATTCGAGTTATACTGAGACAGTTGTCTGATGCCTCTTCTGGTTTTCTCTCTTCAGTTATTCTCGATTTATCAGTAAACCTCTATGAAAACCAACTAATTTCTCTATCAATCAATCAATGAATTCGACGTAGTGCAGCAAACTGTGATATTTGAACTTATTACCTAAAAGCTTGAAGATCCTGAATATCTTAAACGAGTAACACTATGTAAGGTGTTTTTTATTGTGTCTGGCATCTTACAAACTTTCTGTTCATATAAACAAAATAAACTGTCAACAGTATTCTTCAGTCTGTTTTTCTTCATCAATAAGTAACATATTTCTCAGGGATGTCAAGGTCATTGTAATGACTACCTTCCGTACTGTGCTTTTCAGGATCAACACCTTTTCATTTTACTCCCAGTGGAACATCGGGCTTCAAGCTACAGCTCTGAAATTTCAGTAATAGTATTGTTCTCTTATGGGATGGGGTTGCTAGCCTCACTCTTAATCTTCCGTCGTTACCGGCCTTACTACCGGCTAAGTGAGGTAAAGATATGAGTCAGCCGGGGATCGAACCTTGGTCCGCGTGAGGCGTGGTTGGCCAGTGTTCTGCCGCTGAACAACAGACTCTAGGTCAGCACTTGCACAGTGCGTATGTATCACGCCTTTGTAGTAAATAAGATTCATAATTTTATCTTGTTCCAGTCGATTACTCCATGATTTTTATTCTCTGTATTTTTTCGAAAAAAGTGACATCCAGGCGGTAATGGGTGAGAGCTGTTGTAAGGTGTTTTCGCGCATAGTATAACAAACACCAAAATAGATATCTCAGCTGTGAAAAAAACTGATAAAACACCTTTTGGAACAGCCAAGCGAAACATCTGATAAGATTACAACATTGCTCTAAACAAGTAATACAAAATCACACCACACCGCCTCCATTTTCCCGATCTAATTATATTGAAGCGAAAGTGCGGCAAGTTTTGTTTTGCTATAACTTCAATACTCACTTGACCTTAACACAAATCCTCACTGTGTGTTATGTGAACGATACATCTTGAAACCAATCTCTCCTTTATGTTGTTGCTGTCATTGTTACTCTAAGGTTAGAGAATATGATGAACAGAGTCAATGTATATATACTATAACCACTTTCACGTACATACCACACTAATTAATAGCGATCATAATAATAATAATAATAATAATAGTGATCAATCTATGTTAAACATGTGATCATTTAAGGTTTCAGGTGATTCCTGATAACAACATTTTGTTTTTCAAGTATTTACTAAATATGCATTGATCAACACTTTTAAAAAATATTTTTATTTTAAGAATAAATGTATGCCAATAAAATTTTGTATGACGCATAGATGACATAGCCTCAGAGCACCTTTTTGTGAGTGGAATTATGGAGTTAAACTTAAATTCATAAAGAAAATACACCCGCCTATTAAAGTTCTTGATACACAAGGAAAATGAATTAACTAGTTAATTTTGAAGTAGATTACATCATGAAGTGATGTTAACGGATGAACTGGTGACAAAATTGCGAAGCTTTAGACAGCTGTTTCATCAATAATTTATGGCTTCTGGAGTAGTCCCCATACATCGTGTACAACACTACGAGGCTAAGCTGGTGACTGTTTTTGATCATAGATGTCTACGATCTCTTTCTCACGTTAGGTGGTATAATAAGGTAAGTAATGTTGACGTTAGGCGTAGAGTGTTGGGCAAAGAGGGAAAATCAATCGACGAGGCTATAAAGTTACATAGATTGAGATGGCTAGGTGACGTGCTGCGCATGCCTAGCCATCGCCTCCCCGAGGACGGGCATTACTAGCTGATATAGGTGCAGGTTGGAAAAGAGTAAGTGGTGGCCAAACAAAAGCATGGCATCAATCCATGAAATCCTTGACAGTTAAACTGAGTCAGGTAGGGAGATGCAGACTTCCGGGTTGGGGCCCGCCCTCGGGACTCTAAGAATCAATGGCTGGAGACAATAGGTGACATGGCTCAAAATCGTTGTCAATGGCGCAGATGTATTCAGTCTCTGTAATCTTTCATATTCCTTTCTACCATTACTCATTCTGTTTCACTCTTATACTTGTCAAAACTCTATTGATTCTCTTCACTCATCTTCTTGTCTACCTTTGTGTGCTATTTGGAACGTGGCAACTGGAACTGGTGCACTTCGGTGCCAAGTTCTATGTTGAATCCAGACAGAGATGACCAGTAGGCTAAATTGTCAAACATTCTACGACTAAACTGTCTGGCTGGAATCCATTTTACCTGTGACTTTCATTCTCTACTTATTCATAATATCATAGCACAGTTATCCTATGTTTGTCGATGTGCTTTCCATTTTATCTCCCTTGATTCAACTTTTCAGTCAGAAGTTCTCATCAGATCTTTGTAAATTCCATCTTGAAGGTGGTCAGTAGTGAGTAATGCGTCGATATTCCCTTGTTTAATTCCTTTAGTCCGTTAGTTTCTGTTACATATTCGTTCAATGGCGTTATAGGTTAGATATATATCTGCATGATGATCTATCCTATTGATCGATAATAACATGAATAGTTGGAGATTACTCATGTCACTTCGATCTGGCTAGCAGGCAACAATAGTTGATCTAAACACTGGACAGCTAAGGATCAAGCTCATCAGTAGTGTACCCGGTTCGACTCAGTTCAGAGAGCCGAGTCAGTTCAAGTCACCTGAATTCTGGCTAGCTAATTGGGCGAACTGGTAATTTCTAGTTTCTTGCAATCTATGTATGCATATGTGAGTTTGTATCAGTGTCTCTATTATTGAAATGTACATTCAAAAGTCAAAGCTACAGAAGTAATAATCGATACCCACAGAGATGGAGGTATTGTTAAGTTAGTGATTTCTACCCTATCACTCAGTTTTGTTTCTGGTCAAATTACAGGTTATACTTCGGAATGTAATTGTGTTAGGGAAATATTCCCGGCACCAAAATCGTTTTCATCATTATCTGTTTTCAAAAGTTATCTTTCTTTCATAAGGAATTTTTACACACATTAAACAGACGTTTCTTTTTGTATGAACATGTTGCGTAGTCTGTTTGATGTTGAATTTCTTTATTCGCCATTAAAAACAAATTTAAATGACATTTCAGGTGTAGTTGAATTTAGTCACACATGTGACGTTTTTTATTTTTACCCTACTCTCTATACTGGTACTTTTTAAATGATGTTTTGAATGATTTAATGTCCTTATGGACACTAAAATAGCAGACTGAGGTAATGAAATCGAATTACTGCAAATGAACTTCAAAAGGATCTCTCGTAACACACCTTGGCTAATTGCAGTTTAGGTAATAAATTATGCTTACAATTAGTACCACTGTTCATTCCTTTGTGTTCTGAGTGGAACATAGAGCGCTTCAATCTTCAAAGTTTCAGTAGCACTGGTGTTGTTTTTACGAGGTAGAGTTGCTAGCCTCATACACAACCTTCCATCTTTTCCGGAATTACTACGGACTAGGCGAGATTTTGAAGTGTGTCGACAGGGAATCGAACCAGAGACTACGTGAGTGGAGTGGCTGGCGAGAATTCTACCATTGAACTATCGATACACTGGTGGATTGTTTTAGTGAGATAGAATAGTTCAGTTCATTTTATGATGTTTTAGCTCGGATAGCTTGTTTAATGAGCGAGCTGGTATAAGATTAAGTTGGAAAAGAGATGGAGGCTATGAAACCAAAACCTGGCATCAATCCATGAAATCTCTGACTGTAGGTTTGAGCTACATAGGAGGGTGTAGACTGCTTGGTTTGGGGGATCCTCGCGACTCTGAGATCCAATGGCTCGTGACAGTTGGTGTTATGCCTAAAAATCGATCTCGAATTCAATGACTCTTTGTAATATCCCAGACACTTGAAGTCCTCATGTTTTTCTATGTTACTATTCTTTTTGCCGTATATTTCTACACATTATAGTTCTTTGATTGGACACTAGTAACTAATGTGATGTGTCGAGTCCTTTCTTTGGTGCAGACTGAATTTTATCAGTCAGGTTTTACAATGTGGCCACCATTCTAGGTAGCTCGCCATCACTGTCTATCTGTCTGGATTCAACATAGAACTTGGCGCCGAAGTGCAGCAGTTCGAGTTGCCACGTTCCAAATAGCACACAAAGGTAGACAAGAAGATGAATGAAGAGAATCAATAGAGTTTTGACAAGTATAAGAGTGAAACAGAATGAGTAATGGTAGAAAGGAGTATGAAAAATTACAGAGGCTGAATACATCTGCGCCATTGACAACGATTTTGAGCCATGTCACCTATTTTCGCCATCACGGTGTACATTGATTTGATGATATTAGGTGTTTGAAGGCAATCGGCAGGAAGCCTTGGACCTAGGTTTCGTGCTAGTTGGCACTCACTAGTCAGCAAGGCGTATCTGCAACCAACTTGGAGGAACTCATGTCCCTTCTGAGATTCGAACCCGCGTCACCCAGTGAGTACTGCAGTCAGAGACGTTACCACTGAGCTATTCGGGCTCGCGATTGACTGCCGATTGCCTCCAACCATCTAATATCATCACATTATAGTTCTTTTAAATTTTCTTTTCTCTACGTTTGTATGCTGTATGGATCATGATAACTTCAGCTGATGCACTTCTGTGGGAAGTCCTACGTTGAAACTCAGCCTGTCAGTCAGCTTAAAAATAAATAATATCAGTATGTATTGATTATTATTTCTCTTAGAGTTTGTGGTTATTCTTTTTATATCACTACTACTACTACTAATTGTATGATAACTATATTTAATTTACAGAGCGAATGTAATCGCCAATATGAGTGCAACACTACCACGTGGCCATCGTGCTCAAGAAGCAAATTTAGCGCATAGTGGTTTATTAAGAACTGCAAGTCAACGAGAAGATTTCACTGAAGGCCGACTAGCTATTGAAAGTCATACAGTATCTCATCATAATCTAGGCGGTAATAATCTTGGCTCTGGACTTATTGTAAACACGAACGGTGGAGATGGAACATTGAATGGAAAGAGAGGAGTGAGTATTGTTTTTTTTTTGTTTTTACTTGTGGTTCGTATTTGTTTTGTCTACTATTTATAATTATGTATTTCAGATTTATGCTCAAAGAAGTGCATAAATTTGATACAATAGTGATAAAGTCTGTTTGTCGTTGGTGCATGATATTTCACGAAATCAAAGTGTCTATTTCTTTAAACCTTTGTTGGGAAAACTTCCATATGTGAATAAAAGTGAATATTTGTGAGTACTGTTAGCAGGTGGATTCTATAACTTTAAAATGCTTTATATTTACAGCATGTTACCAATATCTGTTGATTAATCTGTAATTACTTAAGTGGTAGAGCGCGTTGACCACTTCACTTATTTGGGAAGCTGCATCAGCCAGCCCCAACGGGTTGATCGCTGACTAAATCTCAGCACGGATACAGAAGGCTAGTTTCGCATATGCCAGTTTACGCCGTCTCTGGCGAAGACGTGATATCCAGCTGGCGGTCGACCAAACGGTGTGAGCACTGCTCGCAGCAGTTCGCTCCGTCCTCCTTCATGGCTGGCTGTGAGAAATGGCCATTGAAAGTGGAAGACATGAAAAGGCCGGTTAGCTGTCTTTGATCACTGGTACCTGCGTTCTATCTCCCGTGTTGGGTGGCATAATAGAGTGACTAATATTGAGGTTAGGCATCGGTCGAGTGCTAGGTAAGGAGGGGAAATAAATAGACGGTTGAGATGGTTAGGACATGTGTTACGTATGCCTAGGCATCGCCTTCCTCGATGGGCAGTGTTAGCTGCTGACATAGGATGGATCAGGTTGGAAAAGAGCCACTGGTGGTCAAACGAAAACATGGCTTCATCAGTCAATGAAATCCACAACAGTTAGTTAAGCCACGTGGGAAGGTGTAGACGCTTCCTGGTTGGGGTCCTCGGTACGGTAAAAACCAATGAAGGCTGGAGACAATCGGTGATATGGCTCAAAATCGTTCTCACTGGCGCAGATGCATACTCCTTGTGACTTATAATATCCAATAAAACTCTATTGTTCTTCGATATTACTATTCTTTTTGCTTTATATTTCTGTTTATTATCTCTGTTTTGAATTTCTTTTTACTCTCTTCTCTTGCTTTGTGTCCTAAGTGAAGTGTGGCGACTTGAACTGCTGCACATCGGTGCAAAGTTCAGTGTTGAAACCAGTCAGTCAGTTTGTAATTACTTGTTAGCCTAGGCTTATTAGTTTACTATACTACTACAATACACCTTTTTTTTAATAAAACCTACTGACTGTTTATTATTTCTTACAAATGAGACAAAGAATAAAGGTGTCTATGTGAAGATCTTTCCACTCAAATCTCAGAGGCTAGATCAGTTTCTTGAAAGTTGCAAATACGCCTTACTATGGCAAGTACCAAAACACGAAGCCTAGGTCCATCGCTTCTGTCTCAGCATCAATTCAGAGTCTACGGTGATAGTGAGTTACTTACCTTGATGACCACATTGAACACTTGACTGATAGAATTCAGTCAGCACCAACAGGAACAACAAAATTGAGACGCATGATTCTGCTTACACCCCAGTGACTTGTATCAATGAGCCTTTTCATTCGCTAGTTTACGAATAAGAATGTAATAGTTTGACTTTGATGGGTGTTTAACTTTCTGGATGTATGTTTCCGACGAGTTGATGTGAGTTAGTTGAGAACTTCTCATGTTGTCTAGTAAAGCATTCTACTTCAATCAATATAAATCAAATTTGCTATTACAGTTTATACCAGTACGAAGTGAAATTTCACCACAGTTTCCTATGGAAACCAAATTATTCAGATCAAAATGTGTAATCGTCTGCTTGATCCCATAAACCATAATTAAGAAAGCAAGTATAAATGCATGACGCCATATACTACTGATTGATTGAGATTAGTAGTTTTATGCCTTTCACATCAACTAGTAGTGGAACAGCGGTTAGGACGCTCGTCGACCATGTACATGGTCAGGGGTTCGATCCCCGGCCGACGCACATCTGATATCAATGGTCGGCCTGCTGAATTTAGGCTACCGATATCACATGCTTAAAATTCCATACTTGTACCAAAATACTGTGTGGAATTAAGCTACAATAAAAATAAAAATAGTAGTGCTTACTAGCCAACCACATCAAAGTGATCTGAACACCGGATGGCCGTCTTGCTCATATTGGAGCCAAGCTCATCAGGTCAGAGATCCGGATCAGTTAAAACCACCTGAATTCTAACTAGCTACTTGAGTGAACTAGTAATACCATAAATCACATTTACAAATTTATCTGCAATTTACACGGTTCGAGGTGAAATTTCACCACAATTTCGCTAGAAAAGCAAAAACACCGGTGGTTGATGTGAGTAGTATACAACCACTCATCATCTGAACCGCTTTCGTCATCCACTGTTGACATCATTACTAGTTAGTCATATTCTTCAAATATTTCACTTTTGCCTTATGTTCTTTAAGATGATTTATTGATTGATTTTGGTTCTCCCTCTCTTTTGCTTGATTGAATGACTCATTTGTGAAGGGCGAGTGAGTGAGCGAGAGCGAGAGAGAAAGATACCGTTTTTAAGTGACAAGTCATTGATTCATACATACATACCAGATGTTGTTTTGCTCTGTAAAGGAAACACTGTCGCTTAAGAAATATGCATATATATGATGAATAGGTGGGGGAGTGTAATGCAGTACTGCTCATTTTTATTATACACATTTTGCCGGTATAGTCAGCATAGCTGTGGTGACTAAGACACATTTGAAAAACAAACACATGCGTATTTTTGCGTTAGACTGCAAGTTACTTACACTTGCTGTTGTTGTTACATTGTTTGTTATACATTGTCTGGATAGACTGTCTGTTTTTCTGTATTATCCATTAATTAGTTTATATAGACTATAGTATCTATCATTGGTCACAAAAAAGTGTTCTTTAGATGACAGAATTAAAAAGTACGAAAAATCATATAATATGTGATGATTTCACGAAAGTGCTTCGTGTTGTGACCCGGTTTATAACCTGGACGAAACTTTGGTTAGTTGTTGGTTAGTAATAATCGACGCGAGTAGTTATTCGATATCCAGTAGTACTCATAAATCATATGATATGTATAGGATGTCTACGAGATAAAATACAATATCTCTTCTGAGATTAAAACAACAGAGAATGAGAAGACAGCTTGGCAGAAATTTATTTCATTGAGATGAAACTATTGTGTCAGTGTGTATCTTGAAGAAGTAAGGATGATCATGCCTTATTATTTGTTTTAAGTTGATTTGCATTTACCTGTTGATTGATTGTACCGCAATGTTCAACCTCTGTTGATATGTCACCTTCCAATGTGAAAGCTTCAACTGTGTCTGGGAATTAACATGAAGTAATTCGGTGGAGCGTGACTAACAGTGGAATCGAGGATGTGCATTCCATCGTATTTGGGACTCATCATCTAGATTTATCTCCAATCCCCATTGAGTGATGGTGTCCCCACTGAGACTCCGACCCAATGCCGCTCGTTTCACGCTCCAAAGCGTTATCCACCAGGCTGTTTAGGCCAGGAGAACTACCTCTCGTGGAAGCGTCCGTACTGGGAGCCGATATGTCAGTAGAGGCCGAAAATTTCGGTCCTGTAAATCAACGGGTAAACCGAAATTGACTTAGAACAAATAATGACTGAAGGTTGTTATATAACAGGCGGCTGTCGTGGCTCAAGTGGCCTAGAGGATAACGCTTTGGCATTTGAAACGAAGATTACTGGCTTCGAGTCTCAGTGGAGAACACCATCACACTCAATGAGGATTGCAGGTACATCCAGATGAAGAGTTCCAAAACAGTAAGAAATGCGCATTCTGGATTCCATTGCTAGTCACCATCCTTCAGATTACTTGACAGTCATTCCTTGCCTCCAATCTTGTGATGTTCATCTTTACATTAACTTGTTGCTTATATATGTCCCCAGACAATATTTTCGATTGTCCTTTTCAACTAAAGTGAAAATCGGGCAAACTTTAAAGTGCTTTTTATAATAGTTAATATTCTACCAAAAAGGTGGCATTGTGAAAGTAATTAGTACCTGAAGGTTGTGTAGTATACTTATGTACTCCTTTAGCAATACGATCCTTTATTTATATTCCTCCCAAGTATTGTAGTGAACAGATAATATTTTGTTTCCAGATTATTTGTCCGACCTACGTAGGATAAACTGATCACAGTAGTTTACAAAACTATATTTTTTCATTCCTCGCATTCCGAGTGGAGCATAGGGCTTAAAGCGGCAAACTATCATTACCAAACCACAATGACCTTGAACAACCAATCAGAATTCAGATTCAAAAAAGTCGCATAATCGTTGAAAAATACACTAAAAAATATTGCAAACTTGATATGTCACTGTATAATTATGGCCTATGTGTTGTAAGAATGTCTCCCAGTCAATACACAGATGATCTATAGAGAAATCGTACCATGTGCGATATACCCATTCATCCAGGTGACTGATAGGTCATAGCACTTTGAGATCTATTGAAATTTCTGACACTATTCTTCAACCAACTCCTAACTATAACCCTAATCCTAACCTAAACCTTAATCTTAAAAGCCATAACCCTACCTAACAGCATAGATTCGCAGAAAAAGTACCTAGAGAATAAGTGGAATACTGTATCTATCCTCTCCAAGTCCAAAAAGGCAGGCATGACTTGATTTCGGAATGATATTTCATAGCATTCCCTGTGTCTAATCGGTTCTTGAAGGTCAAATTTTGAAAGACCTTGACTTTGACTATGATATTTTAACTTCGCCCTTAAAGCTTTGAGCTCAGAAGCTTTAGTAGCGGCGGTGTTGTTGTTTTTTTTCACCGGTTGGGTTTTCTAGCTTCACGCTTAACCTGTCATCTTTTCTGGGCTTATAACTACCGTCTGGTAAACTAGATGAAGTTTAGGAGTGTGTCGGGTGGGGATGGAACCCGGACCACCTGCATAGCTGGTGTGCATTCTACTGCTTAAACTACTGAA